GCATTATTTTTGGTGGTTTTAGCCCCACCCCTCAGGCCCCAGGGGGGCAGGGACCATGGAATTCACAATTTTTGTTCCCCTTCACCCATAGGTGCTATATGCCAAATTTGGTTGAAATTGGTTAAGCGGTTTCAGAGAAGAAGCTAAAAATGTTCAAATGTTAACACACGACGCACACTGCACGACGCACGACGCACGCCGACGGACGAGAACGGATAGCAATAGGTCACCTGAGTGACTCAGGTGACCTAAAAAGTTGGGATTTTTTTCTCAAGTTGTGATTGGAGTTGATCGACATCGTTCGACCAATCAGAAATTGTTTTTTGTAAATGATGATATTTGCGTTCGGGATATATCTTGACTCTTTAATATCGGGAATGAAAAACGCAAGTAAACAACGATCCGTAAGATAACATGCCATTCTATGAATAGCTACATGTATATGGTGTCATCCAATATCTTTAGCTACGTGCAAAATATGTGATTAAGAATCTATACTGAAGATGTAGATTTGCATTTTAACATGTTTAAATAACAAATTAACGTAACTCAATACCTTCTTTTTAATTATTCTTTAAAAACATTAAGTTTTTAGCTCACCTGAGCCGAAGGCTCAATTGAGCTTTTCTGATCACTTTTTGTCTGTAGTCCGTCTGTCCGTCTGTCTGTCCGTCTGTCCGTCTGTAAACTTTTCACATTTTCGACTTCTTCTCAAGAACCACTGGGCCAATTTCAATCAAACTTGCCACAAAGTATCCTTGGGTAAAGGGGATTCAAGTTTGTTCAAATGAAGGGCCACGCCCTCTTCCAAGGGGAGATAATTAAGAATTCGTGAAAAATTAATGGCATCATTAAAAAATCTTCTTCTCAAGAACCACTGTGCTTGAAAACATGAAACTTATGTGGAAGCATCCTCAGGTAGTGTAGATTGAAGTTTGTTCAAATCATGACCCCCGGGGGTAGGGTGGGGCCACAATGGGCGATCAAAGTTTTACATAGGAAATATACAGGAAAAATCTTTAAAAATCTTCTTCTCAAGAACAGCAAAGCCATACTTGGTCATATTTATATGGTAGCATCCTCAGATAGTGTACATTCAAGTTTGTTCAAATCTTGACCCCCGGGGGTCGGGTGGGGCCACAATGGGTGATCAAAGTTTTACATAGGAATATATAGGAAAAATCTTCAAAAATCTTCTTCTCAAGAACAGCAAAGCCATGATTGGTCATATTTACTTGGAAGCATCCTCAGGTAGTGTAGATTCAAGTTTGTTCAAATCATGACCCCCGGGGGTAGGGTGGGGCCACAATGGGCGATCAAAGTTTTACATAGGAATATATAGGAAAAATCTTTAAATATCTTCTTCTCAAGAACAGCAAAGCCATGATTGGTCATATTTACATGGAAGCATCCTCAGGTTGTGTAGATTCAAATTTGTTCAAATCATGACCCCCGGGGGTCGGGTGGGGCCACAATGGGCGATCAAAGTTTTACATAGGAATATTTAGGAAAAATCTTTAAAAATCTTCTTCTCAAGAACAACAAAGCCATCATTGGTCATATTTATATGGTAGCATCCTCAGGTAGTGTAGATTCAAGTTTGTTCAACTCATGACCCCCGGGGGTCGGGTGGGACCACAATGGGCGATCAAAGTTTTACATAGGAATATATAGGAAAAATCTTTAAAAATCTTCTTCTCAAGAACAGCAAAGCCATGATTGCTCATATTTACATGGAAGCATCCTCAGGTAGTGTACATTCAAATTTATTCAACTCATGACCCCCGGGGGTCGGGTGGGGCCACAATGGGCGATCAAAGTTTTACATAGGAACACATAGTAAAAATCTTCTTCTCAAGAACAGCAAAGCCATGATTGGTCATATTTATATGGTAGCATCCTCAGATAGTGTACATTCAAATTTGTTCAAATCATGACCCCCGGGGGTCGGGTGGGGCCACAATGGGCGATCAAAGTTTTACATAGGAACACATAGTAAAAATTCTAAAAAAAAACCCAATTTATTAAGAATAGCAAAGCCATGATTGGTCATATTTATATGGTAGCATCCTCAGATAGTGTACATACAAATGTGCTCGAATCATGACCCCCGGGAGTCGGGTGGGCCACAATGGGCCATCAAAGTTTTACATTGGAACACATAGTAAAAATCTTTAAAAAAAACTATTTGTTAAGAATAGCAAAGCCATGATTGGTCATATTTATATGGAAGCATTCTTAGATAGTGTACATTCAAGTTTGTTCAAACATGACCCCTGTGGGTCGGGTGGGACCACAATGGGTGATCAAAGTTTTACATAGGAATACATAGGTTTAATCTTTAAAAATCTTCTACTCAAGAACAGCAAAGCCATGATTGGTCATATTTAAATTGAAGCATCCTCAGATAATGTAGATTCAAATTTGTTCAATTCCTGACACCCCCCCCCCCCCCCCCAACCACTTTTATACAGGTAACTCTCGAAACCTCGAAGTCCGTGGGACCGAGGAAAAACTTCGAGAGATCAAGAGTTCGAGTTTTCAAGAGTCCGGAATTTTCCGGGTTTGTTGACAGGTTTTAAAATTAGTCTTACCGGATGTAATAATTTTCATGCAGTGCTTACCTTTTACACGTGGTTTTTATAAAACAACGATATTTTTTCGTAATTCAGATGAATATTTCATTAAACCGAGTAAAGCAAAAAATGTATATCTTCATATCATGTATATTTATTTATTCTTTGTAATACGGACATCATACTACGCATTCGTTACATGAAAACGACATTTTACAGCGTCGTATATAGCTTTGTCTATTCCAAACATGATCATTGAACACAGTTCTGTAAGTATTTGTCCAATAAAAGTCGTCATATTGACATTGAGGCTGTTTCTGCTTTTTTCATATTTCGTTTAACTTTGACACTGACTCGAAATAAAAATTAAATTGGTGTTTTGTCTTTTAATAAATTACTACTTTTCAATGACACTGCGTCTCCAAATTATCTTAAAACAGTCGATGATAATTATTTTAATAGCATATAGGCAAAATATGATTCATTATAAATCAATTATCACCTTGCAGCATAAGTGTCACCTGAATAAACATCCTGTCCCTCGAGACCCGCGTCTTGTGCCTGAGGCCATTTAAATGTCCAGGTAAAGGTGCTAATTATATAATCTTGTATACACATAGCCACTTCGAGGTATCGAGGGTAAATTCTAATAGAATATGCATAGCGGGACTGCATTTTGACTTCGAGGGATCAAGGGTTTCGAGAGATCAAGAGTTCGAGAAATCAAGAGTAAATTTGCTTAGTTATATAGTGGAAAAATTCGGGACCGGAGACTCACTTCGAGCGATCAAGAACTTCGAGAGATCGAAGTTCGAGCCATCAAGAGTTACCTGTATTTAAACTTTTCAACCTTTCAAGATTGAAGTGATTTCTGCTTTTTCCTAGCCATAGTGCTCAGGTGAGCGATGTGGCCCCTGGGCCTCTTGTTAAATACGCTTTTTATTTCTGTTGATGACGCAATCCGTGCGAACCTTGTAAGATTCGTGATCACGTGACGAAAACATTCCCGTCTTTTGTCAGCACCGTATGCCAAGGGTTTATGAGGAGAGTAGCGTATCAGAAACCCTTGGCTAGCGAAGATGAATAGTTACATGCTTCATACACATTTGTATTGTGCAATTCCAAATAAAAAAAAAAAGGCACAGTCTAAAACCTGTTTATTCTTGTAAATAGCTTGACAGTTGTACTAAACATTTCAATATTAAAATAACCTTTTGTCTATCACAGTAAAAAAAAAATTCTGCATGTAAACATACCTAAATCTTTTGGTACCCTTGTTAATTGCAAGCATCACACTTTGAATGCATTACAAATAAATAACAGCTACATTTGTAGCATATCTTCACAACATCAGGGGTCCTGAGTCAACACGATGCAGTTTGACCCCTAGCTGACAGATTTCATTCGATATCTTTGGGCTTGCTTCTCTCATTGAGAAGCACCAATCAAATTGTAGGAGATAGATAATATAATCAGAAAAGAATCAGTTGAAACCTAAAATGCATATCTTATGCATAGTTTATAACTGAAAGGCTTAATGTGATTGGTTGAGAGATAAGAAAAACAATCAAGATTTGTAATTTTCATGAAAGATGTCACTGCAGTCAGCCCACAAGATATTGAATGGAATTTGTCAGGGGTCTAACGGCAAAGTGTTGACTCGGGACCCCTGACGTTGTGAGGATCAATGCATTTGTAGTTCCAAACCAAAACTGGGACAGTCTTTTGAAACATACAACTATTTTTCTTGCTTATATGTAAATTTATAGCTAAACAGCATACTAGAATAAATCAATAACTTCAAGGAAGGTAAAGGGAAAAAAATCAACATTTACAAAAAATTTAGACCATTGCCTTGAGATGAGCAAAATAGTTGTGTAGCATTAATGTACAGGTATACCAAAATATTGTCCTGGTGATTAGTTTCACAAGAAGTCAGTTACCAGTACAGTAATCTGGAATGTTTTTTTTTTAATATAGTTTAAAAATTAGCATTCAAATTATTTAACTCATTTTAACGGCTTTATAAAAGGTTTTTTGAGCCTGTTGAGAAGTTAAATTTTGTATAAGTGATAATTTTTGTTGAATGAAATTTACATTTATTCCCAACAATAATACATGTACAACAATAATTAATTTGGAGAAATTATTTTTTATAATTTTTTGTAGAACAAAAATGAAAATTATACATATCAATATGTATCATATGATACACAAGTAAAAAATACTGAATTTTAATATGTCTTGATGCATTTTTTGTGTATTGATTCTCATCACAGCAGTGCAGCAATATGTATTTAAAATGAAGCTTAAATGTCAGCCAGAAAGTATTTTTAGAATCAGACCAGTTCTGATTTTAGATTATGACAGTTGGTATGTGGAAAAACCCATCTTGTGATTGGTATTTATAAATATGATAAAAAGAAAAGTTGTGGTATAATTAAGTTACACACTCCTCAACTACGATGCCTGAAGTTCCATATTCAAAGTTTAAAGCTGAAGAAGCAGCAAGGTACATCTTTCTGTATCACTGTGTTTTATTTCCTTTTAATCATGTTAATATAATTAATCTATTCATGTACATGTGTGTCAGTGTGCATAAATTTGTTTAGAAATTGATACCTGGTTGATTGTGTACGTGATAATTAGTGTTTTCTTTAACATGATTGGTGCATACATGTACATTAAGCCTGCAGTCTAAATAAAGCATACTGATTTTAATGATCAATGTTTTGTAAAATTTGATGATTATTAACAAGAAAAGAATATTTGGATAAGTCATGGTTGAATTCAGACAGATTTAAACTTGATATGCACATCTACAATGTATGAGTAATAAAATGGAATTGCAGACCATTAACATATGAGAGAGAACTGCGTGGTAATAGTACACTCAAAGTGAGTGGCTCAGATTTAGTCAAGATGCTTGCACTTGATCAGAAGATACTTTAATTTGTATGGTAAAATTATGTCATCGTCACAAGCCAAGGGTTTCATAGGAAGCGCAGTGGCTGAAAACCCTTAATTTGCTTGCAAAGATGTGAAAATGTGAAAGTCAGTTCAATGGGCTTATAAATGGAATCCTTTTTGGTACAGGGTTCTCTTTCCTAATTTGAATTCAAATGAATTGAATAATTTGAGAAAGTGCCCAAGTCAAAGTGAAAGGCAGTTCTTTGGCAGTTTTTTAACCTTAACAGTTCAATGCTTTAGCAGTTCTTAGACAGTTTACTAGCCTTCTCCTCTGTTGGTGGCAGAAGGTTTTTGCATGCTAATCATTAGGCAGTTTTTATTAGCAGTCCACCATTTAAGCAGTTGCTAGGCAGTTCATTAGCAGTATCTTAGCAGTTCCTAAGCAGTTTTCTTGGCAGTATCTTAGCAGTCAATAAGAAGGTTAAGGTGAACTGCTTAAAAACTGCTAAGGAACTGCTATATACATATAAATATGAAAATATAAGAACTGCTTAAAAACTGGTAAGAAACTGCTATAAGCAGTTTACTTATAAGGAAATAACTCCACCCACATATGAATATGAAAATGCATAAAATTTATCCTTCCAGGGTGATTTATTAAAAAAAAAAACATTACATATGAGAATTTAGCTTAGTATTAAAATGAAACATTGTGTAGTTGAAAAATAAACATAACTAATTTTCATTTCCCTCTCAATTATCGTAAGTAAATTGTTTGAAATTTGACAAATCTACAAATTCGACAAATGGTTGACCATTTATGAAAAATGAATATGACAATTAACAAACTATATCCCATTGCTGAAATTTTAAATGACAAAACTGAAATCATCCTATCAGCATTACAATTGTTGAAAAATAATATAACAATCTAATGCAAATTCAATTTTTCTAACAAATATTTCAAAAGAAATACAACCCTTTCAAAACACTAAATTATCCACACATTGATAGGCATAGTGTAAAACAAATGGTTGACAATTATTGAAAATCTCTCAACACTACAAAATATACATTGCTAATGTTTTTTTTTTTTTTGTTAATTTCCTACCTAGGTGTATACACATTTAGATGATCAATATACAAACACTGGTATCAAGCCACATGTAGGTATTAATGTTAATCCAACATCACTCAGCATCACTAATTTTTGAACCAATACAAAAACACTCTCAAAAAATCAATTTCTGCAGATGGCATAATCCCAAAGAATATACAATTTGAACAAAACACCAATTCATTTTAATATCCATAAACAGGCAAAATGCAGCGTATACTTTTTCCTGCACATACGGAAAGGTCCATGGCCTACAGTGCTCACCTGCCTAACATGAACAGAAATGAACTTCTCCAAGTCCAATTAATGCATGACTTCACTCTAGCCATCAGTTCAATCAACCTTAAATTCACATTTAAATATAACATCTTCACAGATATATCAAACAAACAGTAGCCTTGTTCTGAAAGGCTTTTAATATAACACCCCTTTCCTTTTCAATCAGAATGCCGAATACCTCCTAAGACTTAGGTGGGAATTCTTTTAATCTTTGTCACGTGTGGAAAAACTTCTTGCAATTTATGTCATTTTAAACTTAGCTGTTCTGATGATGACTCAAAGTATTCCTAAAATATATCCACTCGGAAATGTGCCTGAATTAAGTAAATTAATGTGGATTTTTTTTTTTTTTTTTTTTTTTTACACATTCACAGACAAACTTCAATTTGAAAAGTGAGGAATTATTTTTCTGCAGATGTAGAAGTTCCTTTTACAGCAATTTGAGGCACTTTAAGACTTGGATGTTTGGATGCTATCCTCCTCGAATTTGTAATCTTGTTTGTGATGGTCATATTGAATTCAGCTGCTGTCAAATTGGTCCAGCTGTTCTGTTCACAGTGGTAGCGCAAATATTCTGTATTGAAAAAATATACATATATACAATTTTTATTGTTTCCTTGGTCATATTTAGTGCTATATATATATATATATATATATATATATTCAAAACTTGTACCATTCATTCTTAAGGACCCTCTATCAATATTAATGTAAATGTTTTCTGGAGATTTAATTAGAAAATGATATTAAGTATATATACTAAGCCTAGCTGTTCCATTTTCAATAAAGGAGAACTTGTCATTTACCTTCAGGAAAAAATTTCAAAGACAAAATAGTATTCATGAACACAAATCTCTGTTGCTTATTTAATCAGGAATAATACATGCAAATAAAGTGTTACATGTATAAATTTTGTTTTTGGCCAATTAAAATCTTTGAGTTCATTAAATACAAACTAATACATGTAATATGCTGCAGATTTATGGGCAGAATAATCTAACTGCATAAAAAAGGAATCGGAACTCTTTAGTGTGCAGTGTTTAGAGGATCATTGAAAGACAGAGCAAATCTAGTCATAAAATTGACAAATTTGGGAAAATAAGTTACATTTAATGCAGCAAATTTTATACATCTTTATATAAAAAAAAAATAATAATAATATGGTACCTTTGATAGCTGACACCTTCAAGGCATCAAGTGGTGGCCCATTTAACACTTGTCCTTTGGGAGAATTTTCTTTTTTCTTCCTTAGTCCTAAACCTGAGGAGGAAGACAACTCCTTACGACTAAAAACTAATTCTAAAAGGCCATTCAGCATTGTGTAGGTGGGCTTCTTAGATGCAGCAGCCTTTAATTTCAATTCCCTCTCCTTTGGTTTATCAACAATCACGTTTCTAAATCTTTCAGGGTCTGATGGATCCTTTATCAGCATTCCCATATTCTAAACAAAGTTTAATATTTTGGGGAATTTAAATCATTTTCTATTTCTTATAAACAAACATCTTTTCACTGAACATGCTGAAAGATTTTTTTTTTTTACTTAAATAAAAAAAGGAACAACAAAGTCATTGACTGATTTGATTTTTGAAACTCCAGAGAGGAAAATTAAAGCAAGAAACATTTAATTTTCAATGTCTCTTTTTTTTTTTGGTTATTGATAACATGCATCATGTCATGCATCAATAAAAATGTTTTGTTTTACATTCTGTATAGAGTATGGATGTTTTTTTCTCATGCAATGGTCTTGTTCTATTTTTACTTTTATTGCAAGACCAGTGAGGCACATTAACAGAGCATTTCAATCATAGTAATATTAAAAATCACTTTAATTACCTTCATTGGTCATTCCTTGTAGCTCACTGTCATTGCAACATTAACACAATGCTAATACCATTCAAAATAAAAATAATTAAATAAATTTTCTTCAAAGTTATAAAACAAAAGTATTCTTAATAAATCTTGTGGTTTCAACAAAGACAGTGGACACAATTTTGGAAAATTATCCATGCTGAAAACTTTCTGTTATGAATAATTCAAATTGCAGTAATATAATGAAAAAAATAGCATTAACTCAAGTCAGATTTCCACAAATTAAATTCTCATTCTTGTTCTCATATTATGGCTCATCAGGTTATCTTTAAAAAACTTTGCTTGCCCTCTCCCAACTTAGGATAAAAACAATTAAGTAATAGTATGTAAGGAAAAATTTTTTATTCAAAAACACTGGCGATTTAGATGAAGTTAAAATATAAACTGATGGATTAAGAAAACTTAGGAATGAATAAAAAAGTTTCCTAGAGGTTAAAAAGTTAAGTTTTAGTCAGCCAATTGGGAGAGGGCAAACATTTTTTGAAAGATGGCCTCACTGTAAAAAATAATTTTCCATTTAACTATAAAATACATTAATTAGAAAACTATAGATGACACATTTACACTGACAATTTTTCTTATAAAAATGAGAATGTAAATTGTAAAATAAACAAGATTTGAGTATTAAGATTGTGTTAAAAACTTTATGGCACTAAAAATGGAACTAGTTTCCACACTAACTATCCTAAAAACATTTCAAAATTATTTGGGTAACAGGCAGTTTCATTCATGAAGAATTAGCAAATACCTTTGAAATGACTGGTGAACTTTCAGTCTCCAGACTGAAACTTGACATTCTATCAGAATCTGTTGGGCTATGATTGATTGATCTTGGACCCATAGTAGAAGCTTCATCACCTAGAAGGTAGGCTATTTTACGCAGCACTGTGCTCGCAATTGAAGCCTCCCTTGGGGTAATACCTAGTACTTTTTAAAAACGAAAGGAAAATATAAGGCAATAAATACAGATGGCTTTGAATAGCACAAAAGAACAAAATTATAGAAAATACTTCAATTATAAGCTCAGATTTAATCTATATATGATAAAAAAAAAAATGTACTTACAAACACAGAGATTATGGGCCTGCTGCAATTGAAGTGGTGCAGGTGCAAGTTCATTGTCCAGTTGCTCAGGGAAACTTCTCTGTGCATTGGCCCCAAAATTAGTGGACTCGAGCTCTGACTGACTGCATATTGGGGCAGCATTAGAGTCTCTCTCATTCCAATCAATAATGTTAAATGAGTTTACAAATGTCCCGTCCCACTGACTTTCTCCATCTTTAATGGGTGAAATATTCTCAAAAAGAAGTGAAGAGCAAGGACCCCTTTGTATACCT